CTTGTTCCATAGGTGCAACACTCGACATTTGTCCATATTGAATCGAAGTAGATTTTGCATTGACCTCGCGTATACCCTATCCAGATCAGTTGGAAGTACTGTGATATCATCTGGTGTATTGATCTTCCTCCACGCCTTGATGTCATCGGCGTAATGCAGACAGTTGGAGCTTATGTGGCGTGTGATGTCGTTAATATACGTTAAAAATACTCGCGGTCCTAGTACAGATCCCTGTGGTACTCCGCATTCAACTCGGATGTGATCTGACAGCGATTCACGCACTCGTACTTCTAGGCGCCGGTGTAAAAGAAAGCTTTTGGTCCATCCTAGGAGAGGATCACCAATACCATAGGTCTGGAGTTTGAAGAACAGAATGTTATGGTCTATCCGGTCGAACGCCTTTGAAAAGTTGAGAAAGACTACATCAACTTCTGTGTCAGAGTCTACGGCCTCAGTCCAGCTGGATGGTGCTAGTAATAGATTTGTAGTGCACGATCGATTTCGTCGGAAGCCATGCTGTTCCGCTGCGAGGTAATTGGATTCTTCCAAGTAGGCCGTTAGCCCATCAGAAATAATAGCTTCCATGACCTTTGAGAGAACCGGTAGTAAGATTATGTGACGATAGTTTGCTGGATTAGAACGACTATCTCCCTTGTGAATAGGAGTAATCATCCCATGTTTTCACATGTCGGGCACGTATATTTCGTCAAAACGGTGTTGGAATAATCTAGCTTAAAGGGTCAGCTAAACTCTCTCCTACCGCCGCTAGCGATTTCGTGTGTATATTATCAACTCCAGGAGAGCTGTGCTTGCACATACTCAACAGCTTTTTTAGTACAACTTCTGCCGTGAAGGATATGTGAGTAGGTTTTGGGGCTGAAACAACCATTGTCATAGGGTTATGTGGCCAGTGATCACCATGAAAAGTTGCAGCATATTGTAGGCGCAGGGTATTCGACGCCTCCTTCGGTGTCCGTGTGGGTCCGTCCGCTGTTTGAAGAGAAGTACTTCCCCGTTTCACCTTACGTGTTGCTACAGAAGCTTGTGTAATTTGAGGCCATACGCACTGCCAACTTCTGCTGGTATGTCATTCTATCCCCAGTGTTATGGGTAGAACAATCCTAACTAACCCAACCACCATGACCATCCATCAACCGCTATCGATCACTGCATTGAACATTCCGTCATAGCCAGAGTAGCGTTCGCACTGAGCACCATGGGCTGACGCAGTACGGTTGTCCAACTTCAGGCCTGTAGCCCAACTTGGTCAAATACATAGATTCTGGAAATGCGCCTATTCTTTTAACACCGGTTTGCAACACCTAGGAACAAGCTGAGTACAGTGGTTACGTTGGGTCGCATAGGCCATCCAGTTCTCAGTGGTCGGGTAGAGTTTGTAGATAGGACAGGCTGAGTTTCCCACCGCTATACACCTGCATGTGCTGCTTCGCAGTAACGAGACCACGTTTCTAGGGCGGAAAGTCTTAGTCGCTGACCAGAGAGTTAAACTGGCTGACAAAATGTTCTTATGCACTAGTTGGTGCCTCGTCTGCCAGAAAGGTCCAGTGGTACGTCTCACCTAGTCGAGCTAATATGTCGTAGGTTTTAATCATTTTTGTAGCGTCGGCAATTTCTACAGGATATTCTGCGTAGCAAATGTATTCGAAGAGTAAGACTACGCTGCGGCTCAAGGGACGTCGACAGTCACCCTCTCAACCAGTAGTTCTTCGTTAGTGAATATCCGATCCAGTATCGAATGCTTATCTTTTTCTCGGAATTGGGTGGAAGTGTTGATGTGGCCATACAGCGGTTAACCGGAGATAAACGCTTGTAGATCGACCTTAAAATGTTCTCCGGGAGCTGCTTGGGATTCCAGAGCGTGAATGTTGAAATCGCTAATAATGAGAATGTGACTGCAAGTTGTGTTTATAACCCTCCTTAGTGTGGATGCCAGATAGAAATCTTGTGTTTCGGTCGGTCCACATGTGGATCTTTCTTCAATGAAGACGCACCAGAGGTCGCCTGGCTACAGTTCGTCAGTATATTCAATGGGTTTATTTAAAATGCTTCAGAAACAAGGGTTTCCCATGGGCCAAAAACAGTTTCTTTTGTAAGCAGCAGAATGCGAAAGTGGACCTGCAGTGTGCAGTGCGCGTCTTCCTATCAGATGATCTTTCTGTTTTTGCCGCCTCCCCGTAAGGACTAATATACATCTCTTTTGTCGCTGAATATGGAGTGGATAAGCTGACGTCTCTGTGGAACCAAATGTGTTTTGAACTCGATACAAATCGCCTGAAAACACTAGGAGGAGCAGCAAAGGAATTGGTGGGACATTTAGTCCAGTTCTTTTAACATTGTTTAGATCAGAACCAGGTGCTTGTTAGGTGGAAGTTGGAATAATCACTCCAATCCACAAAGGAGGACACATGACTTAACCTTACAACCACCGCTTAGTATAATGTCCTCAGTTCTGCCCAGGGTCATGATATCCACAATTACCGATGCGTTGGTGACCTGTCTGTAAAACTGCATCACGGCGTCCGTCGACAGCATTGGGAAGTTACTAATAGCACAGACTAACCGGATTAACCAAGCTGACGCTGAAGTGGGCGTTGATGTGATCTACCTGGGCTTTTCGAAAGTATTCGATTAACTAGGTCATCTAAGCTCCATTATTACAGAGTCAGTGATCTTCTCCTAGGTTGGGTCACCAACTTCCCTGTCAAACGGCAATTACCTGTCAGAATTCGGAGTTTATTATCGGATCCCATACAAATCGGGTGTTTTGCGCTTCAGAGCCGCGTTTGTCTTTGCTATTTATTAACGAGTACGCACAGGTTATTGACTCGAATTTCTTTATTTTTGCCGAAAGCATCAAGATCTGGCTCAGGATTAAGATGGATGTCAATTAGCAGTTGCTCCTTTGTAACCTTTGTAACATCAGTGAGCAACCCGAAACCTACTGCATTTCGATGTGAGCAGACGCAATCCACTCTCCACCCGACACGAAAGCATTCACTTGTCATACGATTGGAGCACGTGTGCCGCAGAGTCCCACTGCACTTCAGGATGCACTGATTTGTTCTGAGCAATCTAAAAAGGTATCAGAAGCTAGAAACCGATCGTCCGGCGCTTACGTTCATCCTCGCATCAAATACGCAGTCTAAACCTGACAATCATGACCGAAACGTAATCTCACTGCTCTGGGGCAGCCTCAATGTCAGGCTTCCAAGTACTTTATTAAAATGCGCCATCCTACATATGAACAGAGGCTGAAACGCTTAGAATTATTCTGTGGACGGTGTCGTCGACTAAGAGGCGACCTAACAATGGCATGCATGGTATTGTACAATCCAAATCAAATATGCTTCTCTTTATTACACCTCGGCAGTAATACCAACCTTGAAACGGTCAGAACTGTACAATCAGCTGGAGTGTTATAGCAACTTCTTTACAGTTTGTAGAAAGTAGAAGTTACGATTAAAATTCACGCATAATAATGTGCCTCGACGGGGAATCGAACCCCGTTGGACATCCGGAGGACAGGTACTTCGGTCTATTGGGAAGTGACGGGTGAGTGAGCCAATATGCAACACCAGGACAGGTAGTGTGAGCCCATTGGCAATACGTCGCGCACCAAGCAGGTCATGTATTAACATTTGCGCACCTAATCGTCAGCCCTCGGTAGCTCAGTGATAGAGCAGCGGACGGGAAATTCGTGGACCGGGGTTCGATTCCCCGTCGAGGCACATTAATGTGCGTGAATTTTAATCGTGACTTCTACTTTCTACAAACTTTACACTACTCACAAACATCCAAAAATTAACTTCTTTACAGTTCGTGTATATCATTCCTGGAGCGCGCACACCGACTTCGTGGTTTCCGCACCGACACTAACTATATTTAAGAGACGACCAGTTGATGCACTCAGCTATCTGGGTTTTGCCACGTAGCAATATCGTAAAACAAATTCCTACTTTTCCAAGTAAAAATGACAAACTTTTTTCATTTTAACGTTTTCGATAACTCAAGCAGGCCATCCAAATTGTCTCGTAAAGAAGTGGTTCTTAACCGGTACAAAATTATTGTTCATGGTTTAACTTTGAGGATGAGGCATCGAGAAATCATTAAGCCATGCACTTTGCTATACCTGTTCTCAGCCAATTGGATCCATAACGCTTTCGAATTCCTCATTAAGGAAGTCATGTTCCTCCATAGATCTTTCAAGATGGTCTTTAACGCTTTCAACTTCCATCCAACGGTCACTAACGTCCCTAACTACAACGGTTCATTGAGTGACCGAACTCAAATCAGGCAATATCATCCCACTCTGTTTTTGTCTGCGATAACATTAGCTTATTTGAGATTGGTTCCTCAACGAACATCAGGTGTTTTTAAGGAGTGTTTGCGCCCGTTGGATGCAATTTGAGAGCGTTAAGAACCATCTTGAGGGATTTGTGGAGGAACTTGATTTTCTTAAAGAGGACTTTGAAAGCGGTATGGATTCATTTGGCTGGGAAAAGGTCTAGAATAAGTTTTGATCGACCGGCAGAGCTCGACAAACAATCCAATCTTGTCACAACCCCGCACATGTTTCTCAAAATAATTTCCGCTCTTGTTTTGACAGAAGTCACTAACATTGGGTAGCGTTTGTCCTCCTTTTACCTTTCCCTACATTAACTTTTAGATTTGCAACTGGTCTACGTGTGGACGTTTGCACGTGCGGGGCTCCTTCTGTCTCCATCAAATGGGACTACTTCTGTTCCCTCGTGCGTATCGCAGACCACCCGACCCTCAACCGAGGTCTTCTGCCCCGCAGCCTTGCAAGCGGACTATTTGGACGGTCTCTTAACCAAAACACAGCTCCATAATCAAGCTGTCGGCCAGCGTTGTCTGAATGACTTATTTGCTACATTGTATGTGGCCTGGACTCGGTCGAGTACACGTTGCAACAGTTCTTCCGAATTGTTGGCCGGTGTGCCGTATCTTGCCTCCTCAGAATGCGGCAGTTCGGTGAGTCAGTTGGGGGTGTATAACGGCCTCTTGTGTGTTTCATCTGATTGAGTCAGCGGTCTCCTAACTCCATCTCTTGATATGCGTTTTCAACTGTATATTATTCCTCAAATTTTATATGATTATTGAGTACAACTGTTCATGTATGAGTCTGGTGAGACTTCTGGATAGTCTATAGTTAGACAAGTCTTGCCATTCCTGCTTAGTGGGTTAACTTGACCTGTTTGCATGGCTACAGCCTCGAAGTTGGCTGACTTTTCGCTGTTTCTAAGATTAGATGCTTTGATAAGAGTCTCTTATGGAATCGATCGCTTGGGAGGTTCGATGCATTTCACCCATGTAAACAGACCCTTTGACGTCAATCCTGTACAGTGCTCAAGACCATGGAGTGCCTCAGGGACTTATGCCTCTATTTGCTAGTGTCTCGTTGCGTTACTAAGAGGCTCGTGTGGATTTTCAGGTTTGCTCTCAAGTTGAATCGTTAGGCCCTAATTGTACTCGGTAGGACAACATTTCTTGTATCCTCTCCAAACCCACTTTTATGGTGCGGAATATTGAATGCCTTTTATCATTGAGCGGGGAACTTTGCCATTTCCGATGGACGAAAGAACACATTTCACTTCACTGAGATGGTATTCTATTGGACATCTGATTTCACCTGCGTAGTGACTGCAACAATAGAATAAAGTCTTTCCTTATGTATCCTTCCGCGTGATCAGTTAATTGTCAAATCAGTTAGCGAGAGAGAAAACCGACTGTTCGATTTCATCAGGACGTTGTGATCATGCTAAGGACATCAAACTCCTTACAAATCTAAACGGGCTGCTGAACAGTGGCATTGGGCTCAATATTGCATTATGTAAAAAACTGCTTAATCTGTGTTCCATGTTTAGACTGTCACTCTCACCTGTTTGTCCTCACATAAATAAGCATACAAAAATGAATAAATAAATGAAAGTAATATTCATTGACAGTGCGAGACGCAGTTCAAATGAGTTTTCTGATCATTAGGTGTAGCGAGGTCACATAAAACTGATAACTGTTCGAGTTGTTCACGACACATTTTTTAGGGTGACCAACGATCAGTTATACGTATTAGAAATTTTGCAAAGCTAACAGTAATGAAAATGCACCTGTAGTCAAACGTTCAAGCGAAGTAATGCGACCATCCATAGAACCGTCCCATTGGGATTTGTTTCCATAGTCCACCGGAGGGTTCTACCCGCACTTCCATGCCTCATTTAGCTGTGTGCCGATGTGGCTTCAAAGTAGGCAAGTTATCATCGTTCTAACTCATCCTCAAGGCTGTTATCATATGTATGCAATATGGGCACTCCAGTCATCCAACCGGTTTCATCATACAGATCAATTTTGAGTTCAGCTGCAGCGAAAACCCCGTTTATCAACCGCCGAGTAAACCTATATTCCAGCGCACGCAGATGTAAGTGAATCATATGTGGGATTGCATGCGAGGTTGCATGTAGGCGTCTTGTGTGGAGGGGAGGGGAGCCAGTTGCTGCTGTAGCATCGATACCGCTTCCGTACCCGTTCAGTCCTTGCATCACACCGCGATGATTTGGGAATTTCAGCGTATCGATCAGTTTTGGACACACCATTTGCGCCTAACGGGGTACGATCAGTATACCCTGAAACCCTACCAAATGTGCACCTAACTAACTACCGCCTTGTTTATGACCCATCGCGACTGAATGTGTTCTTTCGATTACAAAATGGATAAATTCGTGTTCACAGCCTTTTGTTTCACCGTCCAGTCCCCTGCTTTTGTGCGCAACATACCAATTGCATATTTATCTGTTCCACAATTCCTTGGTATAACCCTCTGTTCTAACGAGGAAGTTTTTCTAGCGAACTGCGATGGCTCCTTTTAATGCAGACGCAGTGACTCGGTTTTAGGAAGAAGGAAAGCGCCGTTACGACTATACCAGAGAATTCGCAGTGATTTTGTGACGTTAAAAAACATTTCAAACGTTACTAGCGAGTTTTTGGTGTTGTTTACTTAAAACAAACGGCGGGCAATCCGAAAATCCATGGCTGAAAATTCACTCTTCTTGGGTGTATAAAAGCGCATTCTTGCCGACTTGAACATAGGTTTCAATCCTTAATTCCCATATCCCTGCCTACCCCTTAAATCTCATTTTAACTGCACTACTCACGAGTAGAAGTAATATACTAATTATCGATGCATTCGTGGTTTCTCCTCGCAATCATAGTGGATGTGACGAACCCTCGAGGATGATAACCGTGCTGTGCCGGTTAGCATCACTTTTTGATCAAGTTAGTGTGCATCACTGATCCAATTTGTTACTAGCAATTTCATCCCATTCTGAATAACTTGGGAATAGTGTGTGTGTGTGTGTGGACAAGGCATCAATGTTTGGAAACAGCAGTTCAGAATCAGAAGTTTTATTGCAATTCGTCTTGTACTTATGAGTTCAGAATCACGTAGTATGCACATGTATGGTAGCGCTAACGTCCTTTCACCAAATACAGGAGGTCTGTCCTCAGAAACAACCATCTTGGGGCTTCTTGCAGAGCCAAGTGGTGAGATAGCCTCGCCCCTGATTTTTGAACACCGTCCTAACTTACGAGTTCCCCTTGAGTTAATATGAATTTCTCTTATAACACAACCTCGTAAACTGCCAAAAATCAGTACATCGTACACAGCATGACTCACATTGACATCCAGATTTTCTTACTCAGCGCTTCACGCAGGGAAGTTTGGACGGCGTCATCTCTCCCACACCCGCAAGTCCCAGGGTTCCCACTGCAAGCAAAAATTCTGTGGAGGACGTCACTAGCTCAGGTGGCTTGAACAATTTTCATACTACCTTCAAACGCAGAATACTTCCTCCGAGACGTCGCAAAACAATCACTGCGCTAATCTCTCCTAAGGATTTACAATCCCACTCTCCTTTGGCTAGTACGAAGTGGTACGCACCATCGTGTTCCGCGTCTGCGACCAATCCCGAACATCCGAGAGCACCCAACTCGAAATTAGACCCCGAACAGTCTGACCCGCTACGCAATCCGAGTTCGTTCACCAGATGGCGTCCTTGGGTTCCCAATCATCCCAATTCGTCTACATGCAGTCCGGTGTTGGACCAACCCATGCTTCGGGTTATGGCGGTTGATGAACGCGCGGGTCATCTACGAAATCAACTGTACCCGGCACGGCCCAGTCTCACTGCTGGCGAACTTTGTACGTACTAATTGCTTTAACGAAACCGCGTGTGTATTCATTTGATATGTTTCACAAAGAGTATACTTATAACTGACGTTAACGCAACGCATATCGTTTTATCAATAAGATGCAGTCCCTGTCATCTTCGTTTCTGTGCCCACGAGAAGCCTATTGATAGAGCATTCTTAACAAGCCATCTCCTCCTCTTTCCTACCATCCAGGTAACATGCTGGCATTCGAAATGAAAATATTTGATCCAAAGGAATTTGGGCTGTTCGCACATAGAGAAGGAAAAGGTAAGGCGTCTCATGAATCTGAAAGGTTCCAATGTAACCCTAGTGTCACGCTGTCCTGCGGTGATTCAGCCCAATTAGATTACAAGTCAAATAGGTCAACTACCAATCCGTAAAAGGACCGTACGATTATTCCACGCTATTGGGGTTCGTCGGTGGTGCATATTCGATCGACCCCCTCCATGGAACCGAACCAATAAATGCTAATGGCTTGCGACACTAGGCAGCAATGATCAATGAACTTATACGGATAAAGAAGCGTTGCATTACAAGTCCCGTTGGATAGTTGCAGGGGATATCAACATAACAATAATGCTAATAATGATACTAAAACAGTTACTATTTTAAATATGAAAATAATGACTTATCGTTTGCTCCGCCGTAGTCCTGCAATCCGCTTAGATTCACAGCACCCACAGTTAACATCAAATAAATTCATGGTAAACTCCAGGTGTAGGATGGAGACGTAGTGCTAAGTGACAAAGTGTAAGTGGATGAGTGCATCATCCAACCGTCTTTTAAATACTGTTAGTGTCGGTGCAGAGACGACCGATTCTGAGAGAGCATTCCACGAGTGACAGACACGAATGGAAAAGAAATTTCTGAGGCACTCTAGACGGCTATATTGTACAGAGAGTTTCAATGAATGGCCCTTCAGGATTGTATTGGTGCTGAGTCGCAGTAAAGGGCGGCACACATGATGTGGGTCTCGAAGAATCAAGTATGTCATAATCAGGTCGCCTCGTAGTCTGTGCTAGCATCCGCTGTATACCCTCAATTGTTAAAGGCTCTCCTGGTATGATAGATTACGCATTCCAATTACGTCATTGGATGCCCGACGTTGTGGCTGCTCCAGTGCATTAAGATCATGTTGCAGCCATGGATGCCAGGTTTGAATTGCGTATTCGACATGGGGGCGAACATACGCACTGAGCATTTGTCGAATTATGGAGATGTTTATTTGTCCAAACACTCGTCGCCATAGCCCGACGTGTTGGTTTCCAGTCTTTGAGGCCTCTTCGGATTGCCTAGAGCAACCCAAGTCATCTTGAACCAGGACACCCAAGTCACGTTCGATAGTTGATTGTTGCAGTACATTCGTTGCGAGCCGGTATGAGTAGCTGATCTGAGGTCGGATGGAAAGCACTTTGCATTTACTGACGTTGGAATGCAGTAAGTTTTGGGTTGACCATTGATATACCGTAGCTAGGTCACTCTGAAGCAGATGCTGGTCGGCGTTCACCTGGATCCTGCGCCAAATCTTGATATCGTCGGCAAACATTAGGAAGTTTGAAGCGATTCCCTGTGCAAGGTCATTAATAAACACCAAAAACAAACGCGGACCTAGAACTGAGCCTTGCGGCACACCACACTCGACTTGTATGGGGTCCGATAAAGAGCTCTGAACTCTGACCACTAAACGCCATTGAAGTAGAAAGTTGGCAATCCAGCTTATAAGTGGGTCACCGATCCCGTAATGCTGGAGCTTGGAGAGTAGTATCCGATGATCTAGACGATCGAAAGCCTTGGAAAAATCCAGGTAGATCACATCAACGTCTTCTACAGCGTCAACTTCCTCGGTCCAACTACTGCGTGCGATTGGTAAATTCGCTGTACATGACCGTTGTCGACGGAAGCCGTGCTGCTCAGGCGTGATGATGTTACAGTTTTCCAGGTAGCCCACCAGTGCATCGGTAACTATGGATTCCATGACCTTGGAGAGTATAGTAAGAAGGAATGGTGGGCGGTAGTTGGAGGGCTCAGTTCATCTTCCAACTTTGTGAATCGGGGTTATTATTCCAAGCTTCCACATAGCGGGAAGTTGATTCTGGTCCAAGCAGCGCAGGAAAGACAGAGCTAACGATCCTGCCAGTTGGCTTGCTGCTGCTTCCAGTGCTTCTGGACGAATGGTGTTGACACCCGGTGGACTGTGTTTGCGTAGAGACGTCAACTTTTACAATACAGCCTCCGCAGTAATAGTGATGTGAGTTAGTCCTTGCGGAAAGACGACAATGGTTCGTAGATCGCTTGGTGGCAAGACCCTTTGAGACGTGGGGGCATATTGCGTCCGCAGCTTCTTTGCTGCTTCCACAGCCGTTCTTGTTGGGCCAACAGCCGTCCTGAGTGGAGGAAATCCTTGCCTCACCTTTCGTAGGCTATTGACGTGCTTGTAAAGCAGTTTGTTGTTAGCACTGAAGGTTTTCGCGATGTTCTGCTGATAGGCGACTTTGTCTTTTCTTAGCAGTTGTGTGCAGTGGTTACAGTGGGCTACGTAGTTGTTCCAACTTTCTGGTGCTGGAGCTTCTCTGTACACTCGTCATACTGCGTTGCGTACTGTCATCCATATTCGAGTTCTGCTCCTAATGAAAAAAACTGATTTACACTTATTGCAAGCTTTTATCTCTGAAGCCCGCAATCAGCTGGTTGAATTTGTTGACGAACTCGAGCCAGGCAATTTTCGGGGGTTCTTCACAAAGGAACGACCAAGTTGTAGCGCTGACGAGCGAGTGAAAACTTAACGGCAGTGGCGTGTTGCTGACCAGATCATATAATTAAATAATTGGTAGATGAAAACTCAGTGTGGCCCGCCCGGATGAATCGAGGTCCACATTGTGATTGCGTGTCTCAGTTCATTCACACAATCGGTGCTTCAAATCAACTCCCATAAACAGACGTATCTGACGCCTCACTCGAGTGCACACCCGACTGGAGGATACATGCTGTGTTTCGGAGTAAGCAATTACAGTCTGCCCTACCATTCAATCATTCACTACCGTCACTATTAGGATAAGAATCCGATAGCCTTGATATCGCAGTACCAACGAAGGCACAGCCAACGCACCACCATCCTGCCCGCATGTAACCGATGGCGGTTGCGCTGTGGAGAGTACTGCTTGCAGCGCGAGTTGTTTTTTCATGCTTGTCTTTTCGAAAGACGGGCGGCTAGAGAGACCTCTGACTGCCATTTCAATGTACAGTCTACTCCTGTGGCCAGGTATTGAATGGAATTCACCTGTGGTTTTTATTAGGAGAACAGCTATTAGACATTCATTTATTGTGACCGAGCTTGATAGCTATTCTTTACTCTTCCTATTTTCTGTTTCTTGACTGTTGTTTAAACGCTCTACTGGGTTCGCCCGATTGGTACATCCGCGTCATTGTTAATGGACGCTCCTCGTCATGACTTTCTCAGCAGCGCTGTTTGCAAGAACATATTCTATTGGTTTTTTTCTTCTCATTACTGTTCTACTTGGTTATGTTAAAGGAATATTTAGTGTCACACAATTATTGTACTAGTTTTCAACTTTTGGGTCTGCATTCCTTATTCGCGTTTGTTTCGTGAATTTTGTTTAAACGTTTCATTTCGTCATTCTGATTGGCCAGTGCCCGTCACTGTAAATGGTCGTTTGCTTTACGCTTGGAGTCCAATGATGCTATTTTTAGGGACTTACGCGATTCGCTCTTACATACACGGTTGCTTATTCGCCGTTGCATTTAACGTTTTTCCTTCAGTTGGTTGGCTCAAGTGTACTTTAGTAGCTTCCCTTCATTTTGCCTTCAAACTATATGAGCAACTGTGATTTCATGTATACAAGTCTCCTTCTGGCTCGTCTTTGGACTTCTTCTTGCGGTCGTGGGGTGAAGGCATCAGCGGCGACACAACAGATTTATCACTAGTTGTTTTGCTTTAATGTGATAAGGTTGCGCCTTCGTGATAGCACCCACTAGCACGGATTCTAATGCCGCGGTTTTTATAGGCGGGTGGGTGTTCATCGTGATTTGGCCGGCTCCATTCCGCCCACTATAAACCGGTTCACTCCACACCAGCAGTACTGCTGGTAGGCACAGCTTCGTACCACATCGCAACAACTGATCAGTAAAAAGGCAAGCTACTCACCTCTTCTGCATATCGAATATCTGAACAAGTCAACCACTGAAGCAATCCCCGTTCCACGAGTGTACGCAGTTCCAGTAGACAACCATCTAATCCGACGAAAAAGTCAGCACACTGTATCTAAGGTCCTGAAGCGAAAGCAAGTGACAAAGTTTCGGTGCGTTCTAACTGTGTACGCTGTGTTCTTCGACCTTGACCTCAGGGCGTAGGTAGGCTGGCAACGTCAGGGAAGGCAGTACTGTTGATACAACTACCGTCTATTGCCATATCACCGACTACCGCCGTGTTGGCAGACAACACGTGCGGCAGCTGTTCAGGCGATTGCTGATTCGTTTGCAGGCACTAAGCGGTTCAATGAAGTATGTCGAGTTGACCACTGCACAGTTCAATGACCCGGACACTGTTCAAATTTGATGTCATTCAAGCTGCTGATCAATGCAAAACTAGATGTTGTGACAGGGCAAAGACAAAACTGCGAATCGACCTACGGCCAATGCAAAAGAGCTTACGAACCAGAGTTACTGCTTTTACCGATTTTGTTTCGGCAACCTGGCTTACGATAAACGTTAGAATCATGAGATGAATGGTCCTTGTTAGATGCATTTTAGCACAATCAGATGATCACGAAACATCTCAAAAAACCTTTCACTTTCGGAACCTACTGTTCATGACCCATGAACTATGGTGGCCTCGAAAGAAGTAACGGTGTAGACAGTACACCAATGTGTCGTTCCGATGTTTCGCTGTCACGCAAACGGCCGTGTGCCAATCGAAACACACATGTGGGAGCGGGAACAGAGATTGCAAGCCAGACATTCGGAACATTTCACCACGATCACAAGCGGCGATGAAGCCTACCATCCACTGCCGTGAGGACGAAGCCTATGCAGAAATAAAATAGCTTCCCTACTCACCGAAATCTCACCTTTTTGTACTTAGCAGGATCATTTACATCGGTGAGAAACAGGTAATTCCCAAGAAATGGATGCTCAGGTGACTACAGTCTGATCTGCCTGTCCTCGAATCGCTCCAAAACAGCTGGTCTGTTCGTCTTGCAGTTTTTTCAAGTAACCATTAGTGGACGATTAATGGAAATCTATAAGGGGCCGCAGAACAACATTCCCAGTGCGATTCTATAGGAACACACCATAGTGATTGTTAAAAGCGCTTACTTGAAGCTATTCGATATTATTCTTGAAAAGATGCTGATTCAAACTAGTCCAGACGGTCCACTCCAGTTTGCTTATCGTAGTTTGAGGTATACTCAAGACGCATCAGCCTACTTTGTACATTCATACATTACCAGATAACAAGATCAACTCTGTGCGAATATGTTTTCTCGACTACAGTAATACCTTTAGCAGCGTAAAAAGTGAGCTTCTTTTGAGAGAACTACATGACGCCGGAATTCAACTTTCTACCGTCCACCTGCTGAGGGGCTACTTCACTGCACATACCCAGTTAGTTTACTCGACTTGGGAGTAAAACGTCCTAGCTGCTCAGCATAACCACCGATGTGCTTCGAGAAGCGATACTGTCCCCATGACCCTTTTCAACTTACGCCTTAGTACCTGCGACTAAGCGATATTGCAGATGATGTGGTACTGGGTATCCAACATCCGACCGCAGCCTCAGCAGCCAAAGTACAAGCCTAACTGGATAACCTTGCATTGTGGCTAAGAGTTAATTTTTTATTTCCGAATGAATTAAGGTGCAACCACGTTCATGTTTCCATATATCAAGGCTGCCGTTATCTGCAACCACCCATGGCATGCCCTGAACTTCACATATATGGTGAGATCGCACTCCACCGTGTCATTGAAGTATCTAGGTGTCACACGCAGCCGTGATCTCTCTTGGTCGCTCCACGTGAATGAATCGTACACAAAAGTAAGATGGATTCCTTTTACGCTGCTCGTTTGCGACCCTTCTGTGTCCCCCGCTACTTAATATTGCGATTTATCACCATCCGTCTTTTTCCACTGGACATATATCTTCCCTGTGTCATTTCCTGGTTCCCTAAGAAGACATTTCAAAACCCTAGATAGGCCATTGACGCAAGTGTTTCGATGTAGTGGCATTCCAAAGCCGACCTCTGTCGCCATTTGGGTGTCTACTCATGCCAGTTCATGCAAAAAACTGGCTACAAAAAATACTCACTGCTGCAAGTCACCATCCTCATGGTGCACTGTTTGACTGTGTATAAACTTCCTCAACCGGACAAAGGTATACATACATTTACGCTAGTGCAAGTGCTTACGATACATCCGGAATTCCATATTTGGTGCGTTTTCTGTGACCATATCCCAGTTGTCCTGGAGTTAACGAGCAAATTCGCATTGTAACCATATTGCTGTCTAGGTCACCTATTAAGCTACTTAAGTAGCCACCGTTTTAGGTTTTATTCTTTTTACAATGCTGAAGGTGTGTGTAACAGTTGAATATTCATCCTTCTGAGTACGTAAAGCTAATTCTTGAATGGAATTACGTCTGATCAACACCATGCTATATGTCTTGATCAGTTTCGAAGAATTGCAAAATGTCGCAAACACACTGTTAACCCTGACCGCTTGACTTTTCTCCATTTTCCAGAGGTACTCTTAGACGATCACATCCATTTGATCGATTTCATTGAAACATCCAACCACGGATCAAACCAGATATTTGGCAATCAACGTTCACCGACGGTGTTTACCGCCAATTCGACGCGGCATCCACTACGGCTGGTGAACAAAACGGTGCAACGTTCACTGTCCTCTCGATCCAATTCTCCACCGAGCAGCAGTTCATCAGGGTCGTACTCACATGGCATCAAGAAGCCCGAACGTTCCAATTCCTTCTCTGTCGCCAGATGGCTGATGCGCAAACGGAATGGATTGGATGTAGGCGGAGTGGTCGTTCCGGCAAACGAGCTCAGATCTGTTAGATCTCAACTCAAGCCCACAACTTCCGCCGATGCACTAGGCCTCCTCCCATCAACACCTCACCAAACCATGGGTGGGGAACCGGTGTTGATTTACAAACGGATTACAGGTGTATTCGCTATCTCCGAGCGCGCTTTCAGTGATCATCGCTACAAGCTACAATCATCACCTCAGAAGCAGATGTCGCCCTGTTCAGGTAAACTATAAAGCTACGAACTATCTCGAAACCTGACAGACGCTTGTGCTCACCTCAACTATGTTCACCGTCTCCAGTCCGTACGGTCAGACTACAGACCGAATGATCACTGTCCTTCTAGTGCAATATCCACACAAGTGATTCTTTTTCTGAATCATCCTCGCCAAACCTCTGATTGCCGCCCACTACGTGACTTCTTTCCTACAAATTTCGGAGCTGATTTATTATCGACCCTATCATCGATGAAATGATTTTTTCACATCGATACATCATGTTCAGCAGTGTGTCATTTTGAAATGGCTTACCGCTATGCTCAACCGCATTCAGACGTGGCCTGCAGAAGACAACTTACAAGATTTTCTGGCTATGTTTTCGTTTCACTCAAGGAGACAATCAACGACAGGCATAAACTGATTTTCAAGCATTTGATAAAATAAGGACTTTTTCTTACTCGTAAGCAGACCACATAGTTCTAATGTCTGAACGGCCTGTAGGTTTCAATTAATTCACATGAAAAGCGGCTCACCGCCATGTATCACATTATGCATCATTAAGACTCTTATGAAATGAGGCGGTGGTTCATGGGTTCACCTGGGCACCGTAGGATAGCGGCCATCTCGTCGGATTGGTGGTGATTATTGCCATGCTAGACCTCCAAGAATCAAAATGAAGACTGAGAAGCGATCCAAAAATCGGTTATTAAGGAATAATGGATCATTTTGCACTGTGCACACTATTTTACCGAAGTGCGCCTTTAATCACTGATTCTTGCTATCTGCTTAAATCCCCTCGTTCGCGCTCACCATTCGTTCGCAGCTGTTTGGATTGCCCTTGACTGGAATAAAATTGCGCTTAGTTTATAATAACTCAAACCAATAATGAGCTGTTTATCCGATCCGTGCGAATGTGGTTAGCTTGCGCCGGCGGCGCTGACTGGCATTTCAACTGCAGGAACCGTCTGTTCTTCACGCTCAGTCCATCAGGTGCCATCGCATCATGTTCCGTCCGCTATGGGTCAGTGTCACGCGCAGCCAACTCGCTTGCACTTGTCTGAAACCAAAAGCGTGCTTGACCCACAACACCGTTCATCCGGCTCTTGTAAGCGTGGTCAACTTGCGCTCGCAGCACTGACTGGCTTTCCAGTCCACTGGCCGCGCGCCGGTTTCGTTCGCGTAACCTACCAGCCACCATCACAACCCTAGCCCAGATTAGAATTCGGTTGCTGTCTTTCAAAACAGACATCGTGGGAGCATTCAGTCCACATTCGTAACCGCGGAACTGCTAGCGAATTACTTCACTGAGTGTAGTGTGTCAGCTGTACGCCGTAACGACGCTTCGCTGTCGCGCGCTGGCTGAGTACACCGCGAGGACGCCCACCCCTAGGCGGATTCGAACCGGAGACCTTATGGTTGCAAACCAGGTGCACGGACCACGGCCACCGGCCGTGGTGAAGATAAGTTAACTAGGTCGTCAGTCTCGAGGTATCCACAACAGCTTAAGACAGGATGACAAGCAATCTGGGATGTTGATGGATGGCAAGGTACACATATGGAGTTATAAAACGATGCCGGAAATAGTCGACTATGTCCCCAACTCATTCGAAGCACGCCCATGAGGGAAGCCGAAACGATTAGCTCACTCTGACTTGCCGATTTGTATGTTGGGTGGGACACTATGACAACAAGACCAGGAGTGACGTTGTTGCTTGCTTAATCAGTTGAATCCTGTAAGTGCCGATATCACGACGCACATCATCGAGTAAATCAGAAGTGAGCTTATTTTACAGAAGCGAAACGAGGTAATTGGACCTTCAACAAAGTTGAAAGAAGATGGCGACAAATAGGTGGTCGAGTTAGTCCTTCCATTCAGTGCCATTTGACCGGTAAGTTCTTTAAAGCAGCACGTTCTTGCTGATTTTCATTGTGCTGGATTGATACGTGAGACATTCTGCACAGAGCCTTACAACGCAGACATAAGGGTGATGTCTGCTGACTGACTCGACCCATGGGGATGGTATTGTTCCAGGAGGCTATTCAGGCTATAAGCACTTTTGGGTACACTTGCTTCTCAATCTGTATAACCGTCAACAGCTGGCATTATCCGATCAGTTGGTGGGAACAAGGTCAAAGAGATCGAACTGCCCTATTGAAATGTCGACCGGTGGTTGAGTGGTCTGTACGCCTGGCTTGCAATCATTAGGTCACCGGTTGGAATCCGCGTAGGGGAGGACGTCATCCTGGTGTACTCAGCCCACACTCGACTGGTGGTGGTCGCGCAGCAGCGACGATTTATTTTACTTCTTTTTATTGAAATAAATGATATCTTGACACTATGGAACGAGAAGATTAGCAATCTGTGTCATAAAGAAATCCTTTTCACTATACTGATGACTACCGCCTACGGAACATTTGGCAAATGTGGTACTTCAAATTAAGGTTTACGTCTATCAATGGCCGCGATACGATACATACAGCCTTGTGAACTATTCTACGCGCAGTTAAATGTTGTTGGAACACGGGCGTAATAGTTACCGTTAGCTTTGAGGCCACAGTGCTGGAAGAACTGTCACTTCCACCTATTTTTTTCGAAACAACGAGACATTAGCAGAACCGATTAGCTCAGTACACTCACACAAGTTCAGTAACCTGGACGAAGGTAATGCTACATGTAAGTGCTAATATTCGTATATTTTGTAGATGCCGTACTCATGCTCTTGGGTGCACTTAGTGAGATATATGGACTTGAGTAGCTTGATCAGACTGCGGCCTTCATGGAGCTACTAGACTCGGTCACGTGATGGGATAGAATAGCTCTCTGCATATCTATTGGCCACATAGTCACCCTGATTTTACGTTTTCGGACAATTGCACACATAAAGCTTTCGAATCCCCCATTTAACACAATCATGTTCCTCCATAAATCTCTCAAGACGGTCCTTAAGACTATCCAGTTGCATCCAATGGGCGCGAATGCTCCTAAATACTACTATTCACTGAGTGACCAATCCCAAATCTGTCAACAGCATCCAATCCTGTTATACTATCAGCTAACTTGGGATTTGTCACTCAACGAACAGCACGCATTCTCTAGGAGTGTTTGCGCCAGTTGGATGCAATCTGACAGCGTTAAAGACCGTCTATGGAAGAACATGACTACCCGAAGGAGGAATTTGAAAGATCCATGAATGCAATTGGCTGGCAAAATGTATAGCCCACTTACCCCTGCATGCAATGTCTCCAGTGTTTCATAGATTTCGAGTAACGACTAATCACGTCTAGCTACATGTAATCACGAGCATGGATACAGAGTCTGGAAGGTATACAGACACTAGCACTCAGGAATATCGCTAACTAATTATGATGGTCAGGCGAGTAATTTGGGCCAGTGGACCAATAAATAAATGTGCGCTGTTTCCACTGTACATTCTTTCTGCTACAGTATCAAAAAATCCGTAAATAAGCATCGACGCATTCAAAAAATGAAATAGAACACCTTGCAATGTCAGGTAAAGAGTCCACTCAGTCAAGAAACAGGATATTGCCCACGAGCTCGTCATGCAGACAAAGGAATTCTTATCATTGCGTGGCGTACCGAATAAGCCCGACAGAACAGAATTCCTGTTAAATGAATAACAGTACACAAATTATTACCTACCAAGCATTATATATATATATTATATATATGTATATATATATATATATATATATAAAGTTTCAGCAAATGGCGGCATACATGGTTGGGGTCACACAATAACTGATACGCTGAAATGAGGTCGCCGCGCAGCCTTCGATAGCGTCCGCTGAAAACTCCCAGCAACTTTAGCCTTCGTTGGTAAAAGTGATAGTGCAGGCCCTTTACATTCTTTGTTGCTCTTCGCTGTGGTGCCTCTAACGCCTCTAGGTCGCGCTTCAACCAAGGTTGCCAAGCTTGGATAGCGTATCCAACATGCGGGCGCACGTAGGAATGGTGCATCATTTGGAAGATTGATGGGTCGAATCTCCCGAATGACCTTCGCAGCATGCCGACGTGCTGGTTGCCTTTTTTCGCAGCTACAGCCTGTTTTGAACAGTTGAGGTGGCTCTGTACGAGCACACCAAGGTCACGTTCCAGGGAGCTAGTCTGCAATCCGTTTGTCCCAAGCAAATATGTGTAGTTATGTCTATGGCGTAATTAAACAACGCGACATTCACTTACGTTGGATGGTAGGGCGTTTTGAACTGACTAGTTCGACACCGTGTTAAGATCGTACTGAAGCCGTTCGTGGTCGTCCGGTCCTCTGACCCTTCACCATATCTTGATATCATCAGCGAAGAATGGAAAATCGGAAGCAATTGATCTCGCCAAATCGTTAATGAACATCAAGAATAGGCGAGATCCAAGCACCGAGCCTTGTGGTACAGCACACACCAGATTGATGGCATCGGACAACAATTCTCGGACTCGCCTCTAATCCAACTCAGGATCGGGTCGCTAATGCCATAGTTCCGAAGCTTCTGAAGAAAACGTCTACGGTCTAAGCGAGCAAGCGCTTTTGAAAAGTCCAGGTAGATGACATCGACTCCTGCTCCATCATCAACAGCTTCAGTCCAGCTATTAAGTGCAATTAATAGGTTAGTATTCCATGAACGTTTTTGACGAAAGCCATGTTGCTCTGGGGTTATTACGTTGTAGCTTTCCAGATACTGCATCAGCGCATCTGTGATGATTGATTCCATAACTTTGGATAGTACAGGAATTAGTGTTATTGGACGGTAGTTGATGGGGTCAGTGCGGCTACCTCCTTTATGGATAGGAGTGATGACCTCTCGCTTCCATACTGGTGGAATATGGTTCTCTTCTAGACATCGCTGATAGAAAACAGCCAGTGGTTCTACTAGATCACTAGCTACCACCTAGAGAGCCTTTGGTCAGGTGTTGTCTACTCCAGGAGAACTGTGAATACGCAAGGATAACAACTTCCGCAGTGAAGGTGATACTGTCTAGACCCGACGGTGGCGTAATAGAAACGAGGAGAATATTTGGGCTCGTTACCTGCTGGAAAGTTTGGAAGTACTGAAGTCGTAGATGTCTCGTAGCCCTCCGCGAAGCAAGAAGACTGGGCCGCGACCACGAAGTCATTTATTAAGATTACGCTCGAATATTTAGAGCGTATACACTATTTACAACAGTCCGTCTCAAAGGCTCATCCCTGTTATTTGCATTGTATCGCTGGTTCCCTTTCCATTGGTTTATGCTTGCCACGTTCACTCTGTCTAAAATCACCTTGACTTTCTTAGTGGATGTACGATTGGCGGGATTGG